AAAAAAAAAAAAAAATCAAGAGCAATGTACTGAAGAATGCGTCACTAGCAGCTATCTGGACATATTTGAAACCTCAAAAAATTTTAGGGGTCAAATATGTGAATATTTCCAAAATTAGTAAACCAGAGAAGTCCCCCTAATTAAAAGGCGGTCCCTAATTAAAAGGCGGTCCCATTTCCGCGGAAAAAATCTGCGGTTCTTTCGTCCGCTCGCCGTTTTCCTCCTTCGATTCCCGGCAAATGGAACATTTTTTCTCTCAAAACCTTCAATTTGTACTTTTATTTACAGTCAAAATTAATGCTTGACTCACCTTCGTCCTTGTCTTCCATTCAATCATCATCTTCTCAACTGCTGTCCTCGATTCTTTGATATAGAATACGATCACTTTTGTGGTCGATTCCACCATGAGGTTCCCTTCACAGATCCACATCACTCGCCGGAGATTTCCCTTTTCCGGAATTCCGCCTCCGAAGTGCCACCACCATCACCATGCCGCATCCAACGTTTTCCTATTCAATCTCAATCAAACCTCCCAATTTCACGGCTACCCTTTTCGTTTCCTGGGCTCTCGACCCGTTTCCAGCAATACCCAGAAATTCTCTTTCCTGCCTAATTCGGGATTTGGCCTGTCCGGCACCTTCTCAGGGCGTATCTTCGAATCCTTCGTCGCACCAGCAGTAAGGTATCTCTCGACGTCGGTCGAGACCCGTGTAAATGAGACCAATTTTCAGAAGATCTATGTGCAAAACGGCATCGACGTTAAGCCTCTTGTTGTTGAACGAATTGACAAAGATGAAGGCATTGCTGGTGAAAAGGATTCCAGGATTGAAGTCCCTTCTGATGACAAGGTTGTGAACAAGGAGGATATTGAGGGGATAAATGGAGTCAGCGTTACTAAGAGTAATGAAAAGGAGGAGCAAAGTGAAATTGAGAAGGAGGGATGGAGGCTGTTGGAGAATGCAGTTGTGATGTATTGTGGGTCGCCGGTGGGAACGGTGGCCGCAAATGATCCCGGAGATAAGCAGCCATTGAACTATGATCAGGTGTTTATTCGTGATTTTGTGCCCTCGGCTTTGGCCTTCTTGCTTAGAGGAGAAGGAGAGATTGTGAGGAATTTTCTCCTTCATACACTGCAGTTGCAGGTATATTCTTATATACCCAAGTTAAGCCCTTAATGCTCCACTGCATTAAATAATTTGAGGAATAAATGCTCCTTAAATATTTTATCATGAGAATTTCATCATAGTTCCAGATTCCTTAGGCCATTGAAAAGTGTTCAATTGATATTGGTTGTTACTTTATAGTTTATGCATTCATAACTTTCCATGTTGAAGAAAGATTTTTCAATGCTCTCCATGAATGAATTTTTTGAACAAAATGTAAATCTTCATATATCCAATTAACTGTTGTGTACACCTAAGCAGCACCTGCTGCTACAATCAATTACAACTTCAGTCACTGAAAACTTCACTTCCAATAAACTGTTATGCTTTCCATGAATGCTGAGATATATTGTCTGAAATGCACAGGTTTTGTATCTGCTTAATCTTGTTGGTCAATGATTTAGTAGAGTAGAATGATTGAAAACTTTAGTGTTGCCGCAAATTTTTGATATTTCTGCATTTAAAATCTCCTTGTTTTGACTCAGAGTTGGGAGAAAACTGTGGACTGCTATAGTCCTGGGCAGGGATTGATGCCAGCCAGTTTTAAGGTTAGAACGGTCCCGCTTGATGACAATAAGTCTGAGGAAGTCCTAGATCCAGATTTCGGTGAATCAGCCATCGGGCGTGTTGCTCCTGTGGATTCTGGTTAGTATATTGCAATTTGGACTCAAGACTACAATTAGATATTTAGTTGTAATTTGTTTGAACAAAAAGGTGTGCCATTGACTATTAATGGTCTCCATGTTTCAATGAATTGTTTGTAGGTGAAAATTTTCTTTCCATTTCCATAGAAGCCACCAATGCATGTGACTGATTTAATTCACCTCTTTCACAGGATTGTGGTGGATTATTTTGTTGAGGGCATATGGAAAGATCACTGGTGACTATACTTTGCAAGAGAGGGTAGATGTTCAGACGGGCATAAAATTGATCATGAACTTGTGTTTATCAGATGGATTTGATATGTTCCCTTCTCTGCTAGTCACTGATGGATCCTGCATGATAGATCGACGGATGGGTATTCATGGCCACCCTCTTGAGATTCAAGTAAGTTAATCTTATTTAATAAATTTTTGCTGCCATGCCTTGTGGTTTTCACATAAATTAGATGTAAATCGAAGTAAGTTTGTTTGTTGTGTGGTTGTGCTGTCTCCATGTGTACCTTGGAAAGTAATTCATGGTTGCTCCATTCAAGTCTGACCATAGAAGTTTGATCTGTTTCAGTTATTATCTATTTTCTGATAGAAGTTCAGTGAACAATATTGATAACTTGGCACCATCAGCCATGTGGTCTGGTGGTATTGTTGTTTGTGCTCTTAGCTGGTGGGCTAGGTTTCAATCTCTACTCTCTAAAGACCAAAAACATTAAAACTTGTCAAAGAATCATAGTATCAGTTGGAAGTCAACATCAGTTGCTTCAACCATAAATATAAAATTAGGGTTCTGATTGGTATCTCATTGTAGTGTGAATATCCTTGTTCTCTTGTTTTGTGAACATGACTGCTTACAGATGGTATTCAAGAAATTTTTGAATCATTGACATGCCAGTGTTTTCCTTTATTATGTGGAATTGCAAAGTCACCCCTTCTTTATGTAGAACTGCAGTTTATTACACCAACTTTTTAGTTGTGACGCAACATAGCAACATCACATGATGTTACATCTTCCTTTAGTAGAAGACATTTTAGTCTTGCTTTTCACCAAAAAAAAAAAAAAAAAAAAAGGAGTAAAAAAGGTTAAAAAAGCAATGGTTGAATACTCAACTTATTTAAGTCATCCCACTAATCACAAGTTTGATCTGCAGGCTTTATTTTACTCTGCTCTACGATGCTCCCGTGAGATGCTTGCTTTGAATGATGGATCGAAGAATTTGGTGAGGGCCATTAATAATAGACTCAGTGCACTGTCATTCCACATCAGACAATATTACTGGGTTGACATGAAAAAGATTAATGAGATATACCGTTACAAAACAGAAGAGTACTCCTTGGATGCTACCAATAAATTCAATATCTATCCTGAACAAATTCCTTCATGGCTTATGGATTGGATACCAGAAGAAGGTGGGTATCTAATTGGCAATCTACAGCCAGCACACATGGATTTTAGGTTTTTTACACTTGGAAATCTTTGGTCCATTGTATCATCTTTGGGAACCCCAAAACAGAATAGTGCTATTTTGAATCTCATTGAAGCCAAATGGGATGATATTGTCGGGCATATGCCTCTTAAAATATGTTATCCTGCATTGGAGTATGAGGAGTGGCGAATAATCACTGGCAGTGACCCTAAGAATACGTAAGTGCCCTTCATTTTATCATGTGCTATTTCTTCAAATCTCGTCTCTTCTCTTCACTCTCTCATCGAAAATTATATGGTGTACTGATGCAGGCCTTGGTCATATCATAATGGTGGATCTTGGCCAACACTTCTTTGGCAGGTGAGCTTGGTTTTCATTTCAAATGTACCCTGTGTAATATTTGTTGTCCCACTGCCAATTGCTATACAGTTGTGGCCTAAATTAGTCAGTTTCTGCCAGTTTAATAATGAGTTTGCATCTCTATGGTCCCTTCATTGTCAAATCACAAGTTTATGTTTCTAGGCTTTCTATGATGCTAGTCAAACCACATTTCAAGAGAGAATCTAGGGGACACTAATTAGTTAATAAGTATGAGGGTCAAACAAAAAAAAAAAAGGGTGCCAATGCCTGTTTCAGTGGATAAAGAAAAGAATTACAGATGACACTGATTTTGTATATTACCTTGAATATTTTGTTTGAGGCCTGCAAGCTTGGCTCTCTTCTTGATGTAATATTTTGTGTTTTCAGTTCACATTGGCATGCATTAAGATGGGCAGAATAGACCTAGCCCAGAAGGCAGTTGCTTTGGCTGAAAAAAGGCTTCAAGTGGACCGTTGGCCAGAATATTATGACACCCCAACTGGGAAATTTATTGGAAAACAAGCTCGACTCAACCAGACATGGACCATTGCTGGTTTCCTGACCTCTAGAATGCTCGTAGAGAAACCAGAACTAGCATCCCTGTTGTTCTTGGAAGAAGATTACGAGCTTTTGGAGATCTGTGTTTGTGGTCTTAGCAAAAGCGGCAGGAGGAAATGTTCTCGTGGTGCTGCTAGGTCTCAGATTCTTATCTAATAGAGAAAACCACTCTTTTCCCTTTCAAAGGCAGAAGGCCTTTGTCCTGAACACCCAGAAGCTTAGCTTAGGACAATTAGAAAAAGCCAGATGAAAGATCCTAATGTAGAATGTAGTAGTATACAGAATATGTATGTCACATTTTTTAGCATACATAGTTTTAAAGTTAGATCCAATCAATTAGAAGTTGATAGGAGTTGGAAATTTTGGGTGAGTAGGAGTGTAAGGAGGATTATATTATGTCTCCTCCCCTCTTCCCCAGGTCATGTAAACTGTCTGTACATATATTATTTAACAGTTAAGGAGTGCAACATTACTAAATTCTTGTGTTCTTTCCTATGCTGAGCAGTGAGCACTTACTTTCTGGTTTCTGTTTGTCATGGTCCACTTATCCTCCATAAATGGAAATTAAAGTCATCTCAATGAAGGCCAGGCCACTGGGGCGGTTCACCTCATGACTGACTCGGGACTGGCCTGGTCAAATTTCAGATCAAAACCGGTCAATATCCTGGCCGGCTCATGACCATTCATGCGCCACAGGCCAATTAAGAGTCAAGACAATATTTGCTAAAGTAAGATTTTTAAATCAATGTATACTATTTCTAGTATTTGTTGGTAAATATGAGTTGATTATTTTGTAATTTAAATTTGTATTGAATTACAAAATAAAAA